AATGATATCCTTGCAAATCATTAGCTAATGATAAACTAAAGCAGACAACTGGAAGTTGAAGTGCATAGCTTTGACTAATTATGGTAATAAATTTACACTATTAGTTAATAAAATATGTTATTAAGGAATTAATACACAATGACACATTGAAATAATAGCAATTCATGTATTACTTAATCTATTATATATATAGAATCTTTATTAATTGCTGATGCAGTAATCATTAATTAATGGTTTATTTCTTCATAAGTTATACATTATTTGTGCATTAGTTAAGCATGAATTAATGCATATTAGTGCACCCGTATTGTAAAGTGTTACCGAAGTCTCTTATATTCACCAAGGCTGAATTTATTTATTCATCAAATATACAGTAAAAGTGGTAATATTTTAAAATATGATTTCGCTATTATTGGTTATTTATGTGATGACAAAGCTGACTTTTCAGAAGCCAAATGCTCCAGTCTTCAGTGTCACATGATCTTTCGTAAATAATTCTAAAATGCTCCACCAGCCATACTGCAATGTACATTGTGTTTGATTTACTAAAAGGTTTAGATCATTGCAGTTGTGCCGCTCTGTTCTGAGTGATATAACTGCGTTGTGGACATGCATTTAGCAGAGGTACTATCATCCACACATCAGCGTGAACAAGTTTATCATCACATCTGACATTCATATGTGGACAGAACTTTGTTCTTGAACTTCTAAGTGCAACATCTTACAGTTCCCCCTAAAAGAATGTAATTACCATCAATTTCCAAGGAAGCGGGGGCTGATATAATGGACTTCCAGGGTCTTTGGGTGTGCTAGAGGGGCACAAGATTACCCATATACTGTATCTTTGTGGAAAGGTACATCTGTAAATTAGACAGAAAAAAGGAAAGACAATAGACAAGTTATTGAAGTTAGGTGCTTTATTTTTAGCTACAAAATTTTGGTTACATTGTGTCAAAATTGGCTCGGAACTCTCCTAAATAAGTCATGCTTTTAGGTATTATTCTTTTCTGTAGCTTATTATTCTTTTTTTGAGTAGTTCTCGTTCATCAAAATGAACTCGTACATTAAAATGAACGAATCTTTTTTTCAAGTCGTTTGGTTCATTCAACGAACTAAACGAATGAATTGACTTAGAAAAAGATTTGTTCACTTTGATGAAAGAGTTCGAACAGGAGAGTCACAAATGTGCATCACAGTACAGAGCAAGGCGAGCATTTGAGCTTATAAAACTTAAACTTTGTTATTCATTTATTAAATGAGCGATCGTTTCACTTGATAAGACCCTTATTCATCGTCTGAAATCATTTAAAGTCTTTGAATAGTTCGCAGTTTGCACTGAAACTGTCTTTTGGACCTTGAACCATTTGGTTCCCACTGAAGTGCATTATATAGAGAAAATCCTGGAATGTTTTCATCAAAAACCTTAATTTCTTTTCGACTGAAGAAAGAAAGACATGGACATCTTGGATGACATGGGGGTGAGTAAATTATCAGCAACAGTTTTTCTAAAAGTGAAATATTCATTTAATGCTTACATTTGTTCAGATCCCTAACCGTAAGTATGAGCAACAGTAATAGTGATTTGTGTCTTAGAACGCTTCGTTAATTAAAGCTGCATCCACTTTTACTGCCTTTTCTCAGACTGAAGCCAGCTGTTGAAGCGCACAGCATGACAGTGATGGGTAGTTTTCTGTGCCATCCATTTTTGCGAGGAGCATAAAGGTTGACAGGGAGGAGAGAAATTAAAGGTAGGGGTCCACTTCAGTTAGGTTTAATTGGGGATGAAGGACTAAGATGTATGAGACTAGAAAAAAAAACCCTGGGCTTTGAAGTACATTAGCAAGAAACCCAAAGGCCGGTATTCCTAAGCAGACGGGAATGACTGCGGGGAGCTGAAAAAGACTGCAGACTGCTGTCTCCACAGGATTTTACAGGCTAAGTTTGAGGATTAAAGCTTCACAGACTTGTTAGTTAACTAGCTACAAAGTGTGAAGTGACTGACTGTTCTCTGTAAAACACACTTTTCAAGCTTATTTTCACCCTCTGCCCCTGGGCTGCACACTTCATTGAAACCAGGAGGCTTTGAAAAGGATGTCAGTGCTTCTGAGCGGAGGTTCGTTTAGACAAATGTGCCGCCAAATGCCACTTATTTAAGTAGAGCACACAACATCTTGAGCAGCGATAAAGAAGGATTTAGTAAATATTTGACTTGGTGTCCTTTCTGAAATTGTTGGGCTTTTTTAGGCTCCCAGCTGTTCATTAATACAATTCCTGAGTGATTTTCACTAGATCAGAAGCTGACTTAAGTATCCATTGGGACTGTTAACTTACAAGTGCCATTACAGGTAAAGCCTAGTTCACACTACGTGATTTTAAGCCCGATTTAAGCCCGATTTGCAAATCGTTGAGTCGCTGACAAGTCAGGGTGTTATCGCGTGCAAATCGCGGGCGATTAGCGGACGATTAACGCTCGCCAATCCGTTAGTGTGAAAGAGCCAACAACGCACCAAAGACAGCTCGCAGACACCTCGCAGACAGGTCACCGAGCTCAGAAAAATATCTAGCATGCTAGATATCTCGAGCAGTTGCGCGACTCAATCTCAGTGATGTCATGAGTACAGCCAATCATAGCAACGCATGGGTTGAGGACACCAGGTAAATCTTACTTTTTCTTTTCTTTTTTGCATTTTTTTTTCTCAGAGCAGATCGTCGAGCAAACAGTGTGCAGCACTAGTTTCTGTCTGATGTCCATATTCGCGTGTTGTGTTCTTCTCTGCAGTTTCGCGTCATTTCTGGTTCGTTTTATTGCGTGGTTTTTCGTGACAAAACATGGTTTCTAGACCAGATAGAATCGTGTTGTTGTCAACTCGTTATTTGTTTGATTATTTTCAGGATTTAGACCGTACTATAGTACTGAAACAGCTCTCATTGAGTCACAAATGATATGCTCTTATCATCCGATCGTGGTTGTATCTCTATGTAGTGCGTTGTTAACTCGTGTAGTGAGTTACCTCCTGTTGTGGATCAATCACGTTGTGTTGTGTGGTGTGAACAGCTAAACAACTTGAACACTCATAATTTCACTGAGAGCAAGTCATGTAGTGTGAACTGCACAGTTCAGCCCAACATTTTAAAATCATGTAGTGTGAACTAGGCTTTAGGGAGACCTCATCCTTGCTGCTTAAATGTATCAATTTTTAAAGTAGTTTAAAAACTTTTAACTTCAGTTTGATTAAACTGCTATTTACCTGATTAACTTCCACAGACACAGATGTGATGGCAACAGGTTATTTTGAATCTAAAATGATACAGCGCACCTAAGGATGAACGACTTTCCAAAAAAAAAGCCCACTGAAGTGCCTTGGAACGCACAACTTTGTATGATGCGTTGACAAAATTTCCACTGAAACAGGAATCTGAGGCGGGACAAAATTGAATGGCTCCACCCCCTTTTCAAATAGCCAATAGCGTTTAGTTTACATCAAAGGCTGCAAGTCGTACCTGTAACCCCACCACCTGGGTCCTACTAGACCCACTCTGTGGGGGTCACGATCCCGGGTCTCCAGCACGAGAGTCGGGCACTCTAACAAGGAGGCTAATGCAGCCTCTAGCGTCTGTCGCTAGAGCGCCTATTGATATCAAAGGAGTGAGGTTTACTTGCACAGCAACTACTAGCTGGCCTCCATTACACTCGACCCCTAAACCTCACTCTCATCCGGGTCACGGCACCAATGTAACCCCTTCACCCGGGTCCCCCTCAACCCGCTCCGAGCGGGCCTCAAACCCGGGTCTCCGGCATGAGAGTCAGGCATTCTAACGAGGAGGCTAAAGACTGCAGCCTCTAGCGTCTGTCGCTAGAGTGTATGTCGCTAGAGCGTCTGTCGCTAGAGCGTCTGTCGCTAGAGCGTATGTCGCTAGAGCGTCTGTCGCTGGAGGGTCTGTCGCTAGAGCATCTGTCGCTAGAGCATCTGTCGCTAGAGCGTCTGTCGCTAGAGCGTCTGTCGCTAGAGCGTCTGTCGCTAGAGCGTCTGTCGCTAGAGCGTCTGTCGCTAGAGGGTCTGTCGCTAGAGCGTCTGTCGCTAGAGCGTCTGTCGCTAGAGCGTCTGTCGCTAGAGCGTCTGTCGCTAGAGCGTCTGTCGCTAGAGCGTCTGTCGCTAGAGCGTCTGTCGCTAGAGCGTCTGTCGCTAGAGGGTCTGTCGCTAGAGCGTCTGTCGCTAGAGCGTCTGTCGCTAGAGCGTCTGTCGCTAGAGGGTCTGTCGCTAGAGCGCCTGTCGCTAGAGCGCCTGTCGCTAGAGCGCCTGTCGCTAGAGCATCTGTCGCTAGAGCGCCTGTCGCTTGAGTGTCTTTCGCTAGAGCGTCTGTCGCTAGAGCGCTTGTCGCTAGAGGCCCTGTCGCTAGTGCGCATATTGAGATCAGAGGAGTGAGGTTTACTTGCACAGCAACTACTAGCTGGCCTCCGTTACATGACCACCATGGAAGCGAATACGAGCACTGATGACACGTTGGATTCAGTAGTAGAGGTGTGAATAAATTCTTGCCATTTCATTATTAGCCAACGTACGGTTGGAAAACGGCAACCCATATTGCTCCGTGACGTGTTGTTACGGTCACTTTGTGCTTTCATGGTAACTTGAGGTAAAATGAGAACTGCGCATGCGCGTAGAGTGTCAGTTATAGATTCGACAGGTCCACTCTACCGACTTTTGTACTTTTATTTCCTTTTATATTGTGACCAAAGTTGGATGTTTGTATACGTTTACGGGGAAAATATGCCATCTCTCGTCTCTTGTGCATCTTTTCCTCAGACAGAAGATGTGATGAGAAGCTGAAGTCCGCGGTGATGTCATATAATACGGTGATCCATTAACGTTTTTAATTATTATATTTCCTATATGCAAATTTTGTCATTGTTTTGGAACACACCAGCTTATTCATAACCTTAAGGCTAAACGCTAAAAAACTTCAATTTTGATTTCAGTGGGCCTTTAAGGGAATTTAATGTCAGTATGGTAAAAGGTAAACAATATTGAGAGTGACATTTACTTAAAATGATTATGAATAATACAGGCCCCACCCATCCAGGTCCCCCAGATGCAAGCCCTGCCCTGAATCAAATGCAGGAAAGAACTGAGCCACCCCACCAAAGAGCAGGCAGACAGCAAGGCACAGAGAGTGAGAGAGAGAAAGACACCCATTTACAGCTTAACTGCCTTGTTCAGTCTGTCAGACTTGCTCTCACTGCCACCTCTATCATATCCTCTCCCTCTCTTTCTCTCTCACACACACACACTCATTCAAATACACTCATTCAACTCAGCTCATTCACAGGCACGGGTCAGCCAGCCTCACATTTCACCTTGCTCTGCCTCTGGCTGAGAGGAGAGCCCTGCAAGGTGCAGCCATCACACAGGACACAGGCTCCCGCAACTCAGTCAGGTTGGACCGAGTGACCTGAATGCTTTAGGACAATCTAACGAGACCGAGACGTTTCTTCGGGATGGAATTGCAGAGTTTTCATTCATCACTTTGAAGAGCAAAACCAGAAGGCAGCTAGTTACAAGACCATCAAGAACTTTTACCATCTCTTCACATGTTCCCGCTAAAGGGGTCTGCGTGAGGCAGAGCACCCAGCGAAGACCAGCATCATGCCGACTACTTGTGCAAGGTGCACCTTGGGAGTCTGACCCATCATGTGCAAATGGACACCTACGACCGCTGGTCTCCACTTCGACCTTACCTTTGCTGGCTCAGCCCTTCCTCCTTATCCTTTTCCCCTGGTATGCCTGTCCTTGCTCTTTCTGGCTTGCTCTGCTCTTGGAGGTTGCCCACCTGGACTTGGGCATGACCCTCTTCATGTGCTGGCACAGGGCACAAACTGCTCTTGGACTCTGGAGCGGCACACACGCAGCTACAACCATCTAGAGGGTGATGTTCGCCTACGACGCCTCTATTCCGCCAACAAGTTCTTTCTCTGCATTGACAAGACGGGCAAGGTGGATGGCACTCGTCGGAAGAATTACGCTGACAGTGAGTAGACACACAGTGTTTTTCTGCATGTATGTGTTCCTACAGAGAGGGAGTCGTGCTCATTTGGTCTTTATGATCTTTCATTGACTCTTATCATTTGACTTTTATGGCTCTTTTAGTTCTCTGCGTGTATGGTCAGACTTGTTTATTACTAGCATGTACAAAGGTGTTGCCAGGTAGGATTTGTAATACGCAAAACACTTCATGGGAACGTGAAGGCCCTTATATTAGCCCACAAAACAAAATACTATGATTTGAAACATGGAAGTCTCTCTCCGCCTCAGAGTTCCAAAGAAAAATGTAATTGTGACTTTATCTCGAATGATTGCAGCTTAACTGTATATCTCCTAATTGTAACGTATCTTATCTTGTGACGTAATATTTCACATTCACAATGTGAAGATTTCTTGTTACTTGTGACTTTATATCCCGATTCCCGCATTTGTGACTTTGTCTTAATTTTTATGTGTATAAGTTACCCATTTTATTTTTTACTCGGAAGAAGAAACTGACTTCTATATTTAAATCAGGGATCAGTTGAACAGGAGAGGATTTGTCAAAACTGAACATCAAGTCCTTAATCATATTTATATTTATAATAGATGTATATTTTGTTTGCAGTTAAGGACAGTTTAATATTTTCATACATATATTCAACAGGTTTTTTTTAGAATCTTAAAACATTCAGCACACTGTCGAAAGTGCAAAAATTGTTGTCACTGGTGCAGTAGCCTTAAAGGGACAACTTTGTACCTCCAAGAGGTGCATATTAGTACTTTAGAGTATGTATTACTATGTAACAGGTGCAGTTGGTAGAAAGTTGGCAGATTTGTCCACTGATAAATCCACCAGATGTGCCGGTCATCAGGATCATCCCATGCTCCTTACAAATCACTTCTCCCCACCTCCTAATTTGGTTCCATTATCTTTACACTTGTATCAGCTGGAGTTTTGCGTTATGTCATCCTGTGTCAGGGTTTAGCAGTGGCTTTCCATTCATTTGAATTTGGGATTTAACTGGTCTGTGTCATGGTGGGTTGACCCTGGTTGTTGTGTATGTGTGTGTTGTTGCAAAACAGAGTGAGTCAGACTCTTTTCCAGGAAAGTTGCTTTAACTGCTCTGCCACTGTGCAGATCTTAACTGTTGCGTGGCATTTGTTTATAAGTTTATGCTCTCCAAGGCTGACTCAGATCAGCTAAGATGCTTTGTACAGCCCTCAGAAGCAATTTGCTTGTGCATTTACTTATTTCCGGTCCCTAAATTAAGGTCCTTAAAAAAAGAGGGTCCTCAACAGCTTTCAGGGTTCACATTAGAGAGGAAAAAAAACGGGCTATGAAATATAGGTATCGTGACTTCATTCAGTAAACTCAGAATCAGAACTTTGTTTTGCATTGATCTTGTTGGCCACCTTGTCCTCTGCTTAGCCCTCAGCGTCCGTCAACACTGCAGCGTTGCCCAAACAGCCCTGCACGGACTCTCCCTCTCACTTTTTCCAACTCTCGCTCCCAAACTCTCAGGTGCAAAAACAGTTGGAATAAGTCAACGGGCCCTTGGCTAATTGAGGTAGGAAAATATTGTATCAATCCCAGTGAACTGCAGACTGGAACAGCTGAGAGAAGAGGCCTCAATGAAAAGGTCTGAAAGATAGATTAAAGGGATGCAGGGGATATTATTGCATTTGTGCATTGAACAACACACTTTTATTGTACTTTTGAAAGTGTTCCACACTTAATTCACTAATTCTCATGCTGAGGATTCCTTTTAATAGGCTAATAACTGTATGTTTGGAAGATTGCTCAAGTTTTATTTGCTAGCAAAATAATTTTAGATTACACTCTTTGAGCCAGGACAACGCTATCTCACGACCAATTCGTATGTGATTAAAAAGTGGCTAATTCGTTCTAATTCATACGACTATTTGTCTAAACCCACATGATGGGTAGGTTTAGGGGCGGGGTCAGGGGTAGGTCATTCGTTCGAAAAATATAAGTCGTAAAATATGAACGATTTAGCAAAAATTAGTACGAGTGAGGTTCAACGAATTAGCCACCTCGTAAAATTCGTACGAATTCCCGTGAGATCGGGTTGGCCAGGACAAAATTAATCAACATGACCTGTCCTGGAGGAAATGATTTTAGAGCTCAACGGGCCACAAATTAGCCTAGCTTTGGATCCAATTCCTGAAACTTGTTTTTGTCCAGGAGCTGAAGGGAACAAGCACTTTGAGGTTTCAGGATTCAAAGTAGATTGATTTAAATCTACATAAATAAGATTCTCATCGCTCACAGTTAATGGCCGCCTTATGCAAACTGAACAAGCTTATTTGACTATTTCACAGTTGACTGCAAATTTAGTAAGGCACCCAAACTTTGTGAAGACCCATACACTGCTACTCTATCAATAATGGCCTTCAATTTAGCAAATTAGTCCATTTTGCTAAAGGCAAGCTATCCGAAATTTTGAATATTGTAAGTTTCTTTAGATATGTTTTTCTAACTAGGAACAAATGTAGTAATGTAAAAGTTTTCTCTAAAAGGCATGAAAAAGAAAAAGAAAATAAATGTCAAGCAGACTTGACAAAGGTAAAGACTGTAAGCGTCAACCACCACTTGATTACTAAAGAGGGTTGGTGAGTAAGAAAGTAGATCAATCTTTATCCAATGTTTTCTGGATTTCACCTTAGCCAAGAGTGTTTTCTTTTACACTTTTCATGATGCAGGTACTTAAAACCAGCTTAACTCTTTTCCCCCCAACATTTGGCTTTAAAAAGAGCACTGTTGAAGTCTAGGGCGTATGTGGTTGAGGACATCAAATGCTTGACTTGAGTCCAGGCAACAACACATGTGCGTAAGGAAATAAAGTCATGCGACAGGCATAATCAGAAAAGTCACTTTTGCTAAAATATGGCCACTTTGCAGTTTGCCAGGCCTTTCCCTCTGTTTCTCATTTTCTCTCGTTCTCCTTCCATTTCAGCTGTATTTACAAGAGTTGTGTCATGTTTACCAAGTTTCCCCTCACTTTTCTGCATCTTGCTTTAGATGTTACAGTTTTCCCTTGCCGTGATTTCATAGGTGTGTTGAGCTTGGACCCGAGTCACGGGAAGAAAATCATCCACCCGTTCTGAATATATTGTGGAATTATTTAAAACATATTTCAAAAAGAGAGACTGTCAGTTCATGGACGCCTATGGGCCACAGAGGAAAAATTGTGCTCGACTGAATGCTGGAGAATTCATGGGAGGTAAAAATAAATTCACAATATTATATTATATCACCACATCAGGTCTACAATATGGTTTTATTATATGCGTTTTATTGGAAAAACAAAGAATAACAAAATGTTGTTTGATTACAGACACCTGAATGTCCTCTATAAGTATCTAAATGTGATACGTGGTTGCCTCAAACAAATTTGTTAAAGAGTGAGAGGGCATGCGCTCCACTAAGGACCTATCATATGCATAGTAGTGAAGCTCCTGGTTTGTGACAGTTTAAGTGGTAAGGGCACATGGGTGCTAGGTGATTCCAGACGCTTCTGGAAAGTCTGGGAATGTTGCTTACATTTAGCCTGTAGGGGCCTCTTGGAGATTTTGGTGCCAGGAAAAAAAAGAAAATCCTACAAATCCAGCCTTTTTAATCCTTCCGATGGACAGTGGTCCAGAGTTTAGTGAGAAAAGGCTCGAAATCCATCTCTTGCCAGGTGTTTTTGGCCCTGGGAAAGTGAAACCCTGAGAGTGGTAGAGCTAAAATGTCCTAATTTTTCTAACCGCTTCTATTTCCAAAGGCCATTTTTGATGTCATGAATGGATAAATAGACATGTTGCAATTGTAACCCCTCAGGTTCAACTCTCCAAACACTTTCCGGGCCTTCAACCCGGGTCTCTGGCATAGGAGGTAAGTGCGCTAACAAGGAAGCTAATGACCTTTAGGCCCCATTTACACTGCATGGTTTAAGTGACCCAAATCCGATTTTTTCTCTCGGTGAACGTGTTAGCAGGAAATGAACGCATGGATTCTGATTTTCTCAGATCGGATTCAGGCCTCAATCACGTGTATGAATCGGATGCGTGCATTTGCGTGTGCCATAAGCAGACAAATCGGATATTCCCCAGTAAATGCGAGTTGTACGTCATTAAAAAAGTGATGGGACACCACCAACTGAGATCACATGACTTAATATAGGTGCGATGATGGATGAAGGATACACAAAGTGGAGCAATGTGGAGGTTTCATGTCTTTTGAGTGTTTTGGGGCAAAGAGTGTTGGCAAAAATGCAGGGTTACAGAAATAAATCCGAGATATGGGGAGGCACGGTTTTAAGCGCTCGTGGCTACAGTGCCAACAAAGGGCTCTCGTCTTTTTCTCCACCTACGAGACCAATGTTTTGTCAAAATATTGTGGGAAGCATCCAATATTGTGCATCTGCATCCATTGTATTTTGTGCTGTTTTACTCACTTTTCCAGGTCAGAACGTCTACATTTCAGCAGTGTATAGTGTAAATGTAAAAATCGGATACGGGTCATTTTTTAAAGATGATGTAAGCGGGTCGTCAAAAAAATCGGATATAGTCAGAAAATCGGATTTGGGCATCAAGACCTTCAGTGTAAATGCAGCCTTAGAAAGAAAGTCTCAAGCGCGCCTCCTGAGATCAGGGGAGTGAGGTTTACAAGCAAAGCTCTCACTTGCTGGCCACACTCCCATCCGGGTCACGGCACCAACGTAACCCCATTCTTCTACTGAATCGGCAGTGGACTCTAGGAACGTGCAAGCAGTAATACTACAATGGCTAATAGGAATAGACAAAATCTGGAGTTTCTCATAAGGGGCGAAAGCTTTCCCCATTCAGAGTTGAAGCTGGTAGAATTTGCGACACTTATCAATGGAAAGCTGCTTGGTTTGAAAGTGACTTCGGTGTGAGCCATGCTTCATCCATAGCAAGAATATTGACAATTTAACGGTTTTATTGTTCACAAGTGTATTCATGAACATTGCACATCGC